ATATGCATATGAGGCTACTGAAAAGACCATAGCTTGGGTTAGGCACATCTTAGTCTTCAAAGTGAAATCTTTGCTCTTTAACACTTTAAAGAGATCTTTTGCAGCAGATTTGCTCACTGCAGTACCTCATTTGATTTCTTAACTGTTGCTTCCATGGGCATTGATCGACAACTTTAATCTTTTCTCTGTTTATTGTGATGCTGCTTATTGATCCAATTGTGAGGTTTTTTGTTTTCTTTATGTTGAGGTGTAATCCATACTGAAGGCTGGAGTCTTTGATCTTCATCAGTAGGTGCTTCAAGCCTTCTTTGCTTTCAGCAAGTAAGATCGTGTTATTTGCATATCACAGGTGGAATAAGTCTTCCTCCAATCCTGATGCTGCATTCTTCTTCATATAGTCCAGCTTCCAGATTATTTGCTCAGCATACAGATTGAATAAATATGGTGAAAGGATACAGCCCTGACACACTTTTCCTCATTTTAAACCATGCAGTATCCCCTTGTTCTGTTTGAATGGCAGCCTCTTGCTCAATGTACAGAGCACAATTAAATACTCTGGAATTCTCATTGTTCTCAATGTTATCCATAATTTGTTATGATCCACACAGTCAAATGCCTTTGCACAGTCAATAAAACACAGGTAAACTTTTTCTGGTATTCTTTGCTTTCAGCCAAGATCCATCTGACATCAGCAGTGATATATCCCTTGTTCCATGTCCTGTTCTGAATCTGGTTTGAATTTCTGGCCATTCCCTGCCAATGTACTGCTCCTCAAAAATGGCTGCACCAGACAATCAGCACAAACGGGAAAACAGATGCCATACAAAGATCACTGAGGAACCGAGGATTGCCGGCCACCAAAAGCTGAACTAGATGAAGAACCTCCCCCTAGAGCCACACTCTGAATTCAGGATTCTAGCCTCCTGAATTGTGAGAAAATAAATCTCTGCTCTTTAAAGCCACCCTCTTGTGGTATTTCTGTTACAGCAGAACTAGGAAACTAAGGTGCTAGCTAGTTATGTATTGTCTCTTTGTGCCTCAGTGTTCTTATCTGTAAAATGGACATAATAACACACTTTCTCCCAAAGGGCTTTGTGGGGATTAAATGTGTTCATACAAACGAAGCCTCAAGAACAATGCCTGCCACACACTAAAGACACATCTGTACTGTTAGTAGAATTGTTGCTGCTCTTGTTAGTCCTGGGCTTCTCAAACCTGATCCAAAGAACCTAAACTTCTATAGAAAGCTCTTGAAGTATCAAGAGTCAGTCATTGATTGAAAAAGTGAGCATTAGATAATGTTTTCTTTTCAAATCATAGCGTCCTTTCATATTTTTACTTGGAAATAAAATAAGTGTGATTTCCAAAGTCAGAGTATTAAGATTAGAGCTTGGCCATGTGATCAGTATCTGCATGTGTGTTTTTCCAAGCATTTTATTATGAAAATGTCTAGTATACAGAACAGCTGAAAGAAGTGGATGGTGAGCTCCTATATTATACCACCTAGATTTGACAGTTTGTTCCATTTGCTTTACCACATATCCATCACTGCAAAAAGGGCAAGGAGGCCACATGTGCTGACCTCCTCTAACCCCACAAGAGGAAGACAGAATCACCATCAATAGCCCAAGGCCTATTACTGTGAGGCCAGACATGCTGCCTCCCTCCAGCCCTTTCTCCAACTGTTCCTCCCAGAGCACCCACCACCTCTCTCCTGGGTTCGATAATTTGCTGCAGTGGTCACGCAGAACTCACAGCTAATGGAGTTTATTAGGGAAGCACCAGGCTGCAATTCAAGGTCAGGAAAAAACGCTCA